GGACAGACAATACCCTGACGCATTGTATTCTCGGTGCCGAGATGGCCTTTCATGGATGGAAGGTTCGGTTGAAGAGGCTGCTTGGGGATTTGAAACGCTGTTCTCTCTTGAAGAAAGCTCTCCGAGTATTCCAGGCGAGCAACATCGACACCAGCTGGGAACATGAAGAAATTCTTGCACTTGCGGTTGAGACAGGTCCATCCGGCAGAGAAGACCGTCTTGCAGTGCTGGTGGCAGTCGATGCACCAAGCAAGGGTTGCAGAGCAGTGGGAAGCAGCTACAAGCCCCATGATTTCGGTCTCAGAGGAGAAGATGAATGACTCTTCGCAGTGAGCATTCAGGCAGGTCCAGCCCTGAATGAAGTACTGCTTGGACATCTTCAAGCACTTGCTACAGCTTTGGCGAACGTCACTGAACTCCTGAGGGTTGACAGTGTGTTGAACTTCAGCCTTTGCCTGCCACCAAGATGGTGTAGAACGGTCGATCTTCTCAAGTCGAATCTTGTGGCAGAACTGTCCATTGGCTTCTTTCTCGGACCAGATGTCCGTGATGGTGAAGAACGCCATGACGCTGTACTTGTGCTCCGTGGCGATGGACAAGCCGGGGTAGTTCTTATCTACTTGAAAATGAGTATGACGTTCAAGCATGGTATTGCTTCGAAGGATTGACTTACCTAAGATGACGCCAACGGGCATGGCTTTCATCATGGAAGCCTGGGCAGAGGACAAGTTTCTCTCAAAGCTCTCTTTGACTCGGATCATATTGCCATCAACATCGCGCTCTCTGCCGCCACCGCTGCCACAGATCAAAACTGTTAGCAGTTGGTTAGCGAGAAATTTTTGGGAAGCACCTACAGCGCAGTGATGATGACCTCTGCATCCATGCGGTCTCGGATAGTTGGAAAGCCGCCAAGGAGAAATCCCACCATAGTCTTGTTGTTGGTGTGAGCACTGCTCTGGTGCGCTTTGTAGTAAGGCAGGGCATCGCAAAGAGCCTGTCGGGTTGCAGCCCAAACGGGGGGTTCTCCAAAAGGCTCAGCCTTAAGCTTGTTGATATCGGCCATCATGCTTGCCGAGTACTTGAACTGATGTGAAGAGAGGGGGTTCTACTATCGATCGTAAGGTGTGTATCACGTAGGTCGAAGAATGGTCGCAGCCTGAAAGTGAACTTCAAGACGAGCTCTGGATATAGAAGGTCCGAACGGCACTTCTCGGTGGTTGGAAGACGTCAGGTGCGAACGGCACTTCTAGGTAATTTGAAAGACCGAAGGTGCGAACGGTTGAAGGAAATAGACTTGGTACGATGGAAGGATTTGAGAATATGTGAAAGAAGTATGAAGAATAGGAAGACCGGTTCACGGTCGGGCTGCACTGAATACCTAAAGAGGCTACACTCTTTGAGAGTGCGGTTGTAGATGAAAGACGTGAGTTTGTATGAGAAGAAGTGGAAGATTGTCTGAAGTAGAGGGAAGTGTGTCTTAAGTAGAAGTAGAAGAGTGTCTTAAGCAGACGCGGAAGACGGGAGTGTCCGAATTGGAAGTGGAAAAGTGTCTGAGGTCGAAATGGAAGAGTGACTGAAGTAGAAGTGGACTCGTGTCCAAGGTAGAAGTCGGAGAATGTGTGCGGGAGAGAAGGGGAGTTGTCTGTGGGAGAAGTGAAAATATGTGTATGGGAGAAGTTGGTGTGTGTGTGTGTGTGGAAGAAGTAGAATTGTGTGGGCAAGAGAAGCGGAAGCGTGTTGAGAGAAGTGAGGGTGTGTGAAAGAGAGAAGTGTGATTGCAGAAGAAAGCCTCTCTTAAATATCCTCCGGTGTGGGGAGGGGATGCTCAGAGGCAGGAGTGCAGTGCCTATGAAGAAGGAACGAAGAAGGGACCGCAGGTTCGAAGGCAGGACCGCAACGCGGAGAAGGTGCGGAGATGAGACCGCAGGTCTCAGGGCAAGATCGCAGTGCGAGCTGAAGAAGGTGCGAAGAAGGGACCGCAGGTTCGAAGGTAGGATCGCAGTGCGAACTCAAGAAGGTGCTGGAAAGAGACCGCAGATCTTAGAGCAGGATCGAGGTTAACGAAGAAGATTTCGAAAGTTCGAAGGCAGGAGGAGAGTAACATAAGGAAAGAGCAGAGGGTGTGTGAAAAGTTTTGATTGCCCAAAGGGGCACTTAGCCGAACCGTGAAGAAGGACCGGCTGGACCTGCGTGATTCACAGTGGGAAAGAGCGAAGAATATTAGCATTGTAGATTTGGAAGGTGCAGGTGATCCATTGCCCAAAACAAATATTTTTCGTCTCAGTCTAAGCCTTAGAGAAGACGGAAGAGACAGGAGCGACCAAGTTTCTATGCAAGACAGATGAGGAGTTTTATGAGATGTTCTATATGTCTCTCGTCGTTTCTAGTCTATTCCTGCCGGCCAAGCGCAACGCTTGTGTGACCAAAAGCTGAGTTTATATCCAAGAAACTGCCGACGGTAGACCTTCCAGAGTGGAAGTTCCAGAGTGGAAGAAATCTTGCTAGCAGGGGCTTTCCTATGCTGCCAAGTCCGGTAAGAATAGTAGCTTGCTGTAGAAAAGACGACTTGAGGAATACCATTCTACCTTGGGACTCTCTATTCCTCGTCAGATAGAGACTGTGCCAAGGTAATTGATGGTGTTATTGAGCCGAAGACAGTTGGCTTCAAATTCGAAGCTTTGGCAAAGGCAAGTGTAGTGGATGATTGGGGGAGGGGGCTCGCCAGCACCTTCGGGGGGGGGGGGGGGGGGGGGGAAAAAGAAGGGGGAAAAGCGACAAAGGCGCCGTTTGTGGTTTTTATTTGTTGGCATAAAAGCAAGGGAGAGAAAAACTCCAAGGGAGCTCGCGGCCACCCCCAGCAGGCGGGGGGGGGGGGGGGGGCGGTGTCGGGGGGGGGGGGGGGGGGGGGGGTACAAGAAAGGTTGAAAGGCTACAAGGCTTCCGTTTCAGGTATTGAGTTCTAGTCATACAAGGAAGGTAGGCAAAGCCTCTAGGGTATGTGATATATACTGTTGATATGATACGGCGCTCAAAATGAGGGGCCGTTTGTGATGACCTTTGGAGGCATCCAATTCCCAACAAACTAGTCTCACCGACTTAGGCAGATTGAGTGGGAACGTCGGACGAATATACCTTTAGATGGGAAGAACGGATGAGTTCTGGCCAAGCTCTCCTTCTTATCATTCCACTTTCGCAAAGTGAAGGGAACGCTGGCTTTGCCCGTGGACATTAGGTAAGGGACGCATAGAAGACAGGTGTTCGAGTAATATCCAAGTGAGGCTGCCACGCTTAGAGTTGAGACTGCCTCATTGGCAAGTGTCAAGGTAGAGAAGCATGATGCAGTGAAGACCACATCATTGAGGGACATTGCGATCTGGAGGAAAGTGGGATCATTGGAGACCATGTGTGCCGAGATAGGTTCTCGTCAACTTAATGAGATGATATACCACCGAAATGTATCATTGTTTCTAGCGCGAAGTGATGGTGGCTAAAACAATGCCATCCCGCAATAAAGAGTAATGGCACTTGTGGATGGCCTGAGAGAAATAAAGCCATCAGGCCAGGCTTTCATCACTCGGCGAAGTCCCCGGCGAAGTCACCGGCCAGCAGCAGTATTCTGATGACCAAACTTCGACTAAACAACGGCTGCTTATTGTATGCCCCACATTTGGCTGTGTGTGCAACTGTTACTGAGGCTCCCTTACCGACCTTATGTATTGCGCGCTGTTGCTACCGGCGAATGAATACTTGCTAGTGACCAGAAAATTCTTCCCGACGACCTGATGCAGTGTTGGGAAAGGTAACACAGCCGTTCTCAGTCGACAGTCAACGTGAGAGGATTCATGGCGGTGGTCTGACGCGGAGGTCGGCGGGCAACAGAGGCAGAAGCCACGACCCACTCTGTGAGATTCGGTGGAGGTTGAGAATCCGGGGCGGGAGTGAGATTCCGCGCCGGAGATCTCATGAATTGACTTCCGGGGTGCGACTGGGGCTGCGGGCCTAAAGACCTGGCCAATCTGGTCGGCAAAGATGAGTGTTTGCTTTGTCATCGGAAGAATCTCGGTTGGTCGGAATTGTTTTTACCTTGGTAGTTCGGTTCTCTGCTTGCTGACATAATGAAGCGGGAGACACACCAAACACCCAAATCGCCAACCAAGGCACACAGGAGCCGGCTGGCCTCTAGCCCATTGCAGCCGGTAAATCCGCAATCAGTGGCTGCTCGGCCAAATTCTGTGCCCCTGGACCCCTTGGAATTGACGGGGGTCATTAGTAGCGAAGGTTCGGCGACGTGAAGCTCAGAGAATGGGTGAGCCAATCTAGCGACTGGGGTAAGGTGTGGGCGCTACCGCCATCGGCTGCTGGCAACGGATCTTGTCCAAGGTCAACCATAGTTAACGTCCTAACAATTGGAGGACTGGTGCCCATGGCTGGATCTACACCAAATGACGAGGGCGGATACGCGGAATGACTCGACTCCTGGAGAGTGCGGGAAGATACCGCACTATCTGCTGGCTCTGCCGAGGTGTGACAAGTACGTGGGGAGAAATGCGGAGAAGTGGGGGAAGCTATGCTTCTCCAAGTCTTGGTTCTCTGCTCCTTCTGGCTGTGAGGAGGAGCAGACATGCAGAGCACCAGGGACGAAGAGACCAGGGGAGGGCCCGGTCACCGGGGGCACAGAGGCGCAACGCAATAGAGAGATCTAAACTCTGTTCCCGCCCCGGTCGGTCCCCTTCGCTGTCAGTTTTCCTTTTGAACCAAACCGCTTGCTCGGCAATTGAGCTTCAGCTATCCACCGAGCCTCGTGCGCAGCTTGACATCATTCAAAAAGTCCGAACCTCCCCCGAATCTTTTCCTCTCTCAACAACGCTTCGCATCTCTCAACGACGGACCATCTTCTTCGCGCGGTAAAGTTTCAAGGACACGATCTTTGAACGCGCAAACACAAAGCTTCTCACCCGGCTTCCCTCTATTTCTATTTGTCCCTCTCTTCGCCGCTCAAGATGGTCTTCACTTCGCCAAACTGGGTTCCTCAATTGCCCATCGGTAAGATATTCCCCTCGGGCCCTCGGGCCTTGCCCAACGTTTTGCCGTGACCAGCGCTCACTGAAACATCACAGATCCTCCGGATTCAATCACAATCCAAGAGTTCATGAGCAACGAGAGATACGGTCGCTATGCCCTCAAGGATTCCAGAAGCCCGTACACCTGCGGCCTCACCGGCAAGTCATATTCGGCATTCGAGGTGAGGGAGCGAACAGACTTGTTGGCGAGAGGTATCTCCAAGAAGCTCGAGTTCGCACCAAACGAGGGTACCGAGTGGGAAAAGGTCGTCTGCCTCTTCTCCCTCAACACAGTGAGTAGCAATGGTGCCCAAGTAACCCCACATCACCCACGGGACTAAAAGTAGTGCGTAGATCGATTACATCCCCTTCACCCATGCCATGCACCGTTTGTCCGGCATCGTCACTCCCGCTAGCGCCGCTTATTCAGCTCAAGAGTTGGAGCACCAGCTGCGGTCGTCCAATTCGAAAGCTCTCTTTACCTGCATCCCGTTGCTTGAAACCGCGCTTAAGGCCGCGAAGGGTGCCAACATCCCCGAGGACCGCATCTTTTTGCTGCCGGTGCCGGGCGCCGATCAAAAAACACCCTATGTCACTATCGATGACTTGATCCAAGAGGGCAAGTCTCTGCCGGAGCTGGAACCTCTCAAGTGGGTCAAGGGACAGGGAGCACGCCAGGTTGCTTTCTTGTGCTACTCGAGCGGCACCTCGGGTTTGCCTGTGAGTACTTCTGGGTCATAGAGGCGATCGCAACGTATGTCGAGGTTCGTAGACTGATTTGGCTGCAGAAAGCTGTTATGATCTCACACAGGAACGTCATCGCGAACGTCCTGCAATTCACAACATACGAAACAGTCGCGAGGAGAAAGCTTGGCGTTAGAACACAAGCCACCCTCGGTCTCCTCCCCTTTAGTCACATTTACGGCCTGGTTGTCATTGCTCACTGCGGCACGTGGCGCGGCGACGGCATCATTGTCCTGCCCAAGTTTGAGCTGAAGCAGTTCCTCGATGCCGTTCAGCGCTTCAAGATTAATTGCCTCCCCGTTGTAAGTGCTCATTGGCGGCAATGCAAGCGTTGTACGTACATCTTCTAACGCAAGCAGGTCCCGCCAATCGTCATTCAAGTCATCCGCAATCAAGATCTCTGCAACAAATACGACCTTACCAATGTGCGCTGGGTATACACAGGTGCGGCGCCGCTTGGCGCGGAAACCGTGGAGGATCTTAAGAAGCAATACCCCAAGTGGCACGTGGGTCAAGGATACGGTAAGCTATCGTTTTGCACCATTTGCTTGGCCATGTTTATTAAAACAAATCCAGGCATGACCGAGACCAGCACTGTCGTCTGCACAACCTCCGAGATCGACATCGACGTCGGATCATCAGGCTCTCTCGTCCCTGGTGCGCGCGGCAAGATTGTCGACCCCACGACTGGCGCCGAGATCACAGAGTACAACACCCCCGGCGAGCTCCTGGTGCAGTCACCCTCCGTCGTGCTGGGCTACCTGCACAACGAGAAGGCCAACGCCGAGACGTTTGTATGGCACGAAGACGGCCGCTGGATCAAGACGGGCGACGAGGTCCTCGTTCGCAAGTCCGCCGAGGGCAACGAGCACCTCGTCATCGTCGACCGCATCAAGGAGCTCATCAAGGTCAAGGGCCACCAGGTCGCGCCCGCCGAGCTCGAGGCCCACCTGCTCACCCACCCAGCCGTGTCCGACACGGCCGTCATTCAGGTGCCCGACGAGCGCGCCGGCGAGGTGCCCAAGGCGTACGTCGTCCGCGCCGCTGCCTCCGCCTCCAAGCCCGAGGCCGAGGTGTCGGCCGAGATTTGCAAGTACGTCGAGGAACACAAGGCGCGGCACAAGTGGCTCAAGGGCGGCGTCGAGTTTGTCGACGTCATTCCCAAGAGCCCCAGCGGCAAGATTCTGCGCCGTCTGCTCCGCGACCGCGAAAAGGAAGCCAGGAGATCCAAGGGTGCCAAGCTTTGAGATATATGTACTTGTGATATGTATATATGAACTATGGGGAGCACGAGGTTTTTGGCTAGTGTTTAGAAGGGTTGGATTGATGTGATGCTGGGTATTAGATGATCGTTCGGGTGTGTGCGTTAATCGTTATGTCTACAAAATGCACGCAATGCTTATATTTAGCGTCTTCTGTACATCAGAATGCTGTTGTTTGGCTGAATACGAAGTTCAGGCAGGTCAGCTCCGAAACAAGTGACGTCTGAGCCTCTGTGGTCGTTGGAAAAGTAAGTGAATAAGTGTCGAAGAAACATGTGTCATGTTTGGCTTCCGTCCTGAGTTCCTTCAAGTAACTGACTTGATTACGAACCCGCCGATTCCTGAAGCATGCCGTTCACCCTAATACCATTCAGTATCTTGTGCAAACTTTATAGAAGCAACCACCAGTCATTTGTTCCTCGTACCTAGAAGAACGATCTTGACTCGCCAAACCCACATCGGCTAATCCCCCTCAAAGAGCCTCAATGCTTAGTCGCACTTAAGCATCTCTTAGCGCAACCAGGGATCCAAAACAACCTACGGATACCAAGCCTCTCAACGTCGCAGAAACCCCATCAAACAGGCCCCCGCCTCTTAGTAGTGGAACCGGAACCTTTGGAAATCTACATAGAAGCATTTCACCACGGCAAAATAAACACATTCATTCGCTGTCACGCGCGGGAAGATCAGGGAAATAAAATGTGTAATTGTCAATTGATGGTCGCCTCCCGAGTGGGAGACGTACCCCCCCGAACCGGGGTCTGAAGCGACAAGCCCCGAGCGGGTGTGCCTTGCGGCTTCGCAGGGGTGGACCCGGGCGCCCAGGGTCGGTTTCGAGTTTCTGCTGCAAAGTGCAGGCCGGACGACAAAGAACCTCAAACGCTCTGCGACACCTTGTTGTTGAACTTGAACTTGGTGCCCTGGATGGCTCTGCTCCCGAGTCGGGAGACGCAGCGCCAAGCGAAACAGTCGTCGAGCCTCTCGCTGGCAATCCATCCCTTTTCATACTTCGTACAGGCACTTTTGGTTGTGTAGGCCCAGAGAGGCACTCTTTTGGGTGACAATTGTCCCGGACAACCTAGTTCCATGTCGAACCAATTGACCAGTCAGGCTTTCCCCTTTGCCCCCCCTGGTATGCTGAAGATCAAAAGCCACTCCCGTCCTCTAAATATTTGACTACGGAGTACTGACTAACTCGTGTACGAGCCAGAGGGGGGCGATCAGACCCAGACTGACTTGTCCCAACTCTCACACACAACCGAGTCCAGGCGAAACAGAGACAACACAAGCTTATCCCCTCCCTTCTTTTTCGTCTCTCCATTATTGAGATGGTTCGCTTCGCAGATGGCCTGTATGGCTCCCGCCAGCTGGGCTCGCCGGTAGGGAAGGCTGACCGTTGATACGTCCTTCTTTCCCCATGTTTAGTCTGAAGCCGGGGGAGCTCGCTTGAGAAGTCGAACCCATGCAGAGGAGCCAAAAGGAGATGGGATAGAGCCAGCCACGATGCTGGTCAGTGCCAGAGCGAAGGCGAGGGAAAGGAGAGAAGCCGTCGGTTATCATTCGGACGGCGAGACCGCGAGAGGAGAGGCTGTTCGATACCCATGACCATGGGATGGCCGATGCTCATGCAAGCAAACGGTTCTTTAAGATAAACCTAACCTGCCACCCCATCCCCCTTCCTTTTGGGTTTCCTTTCCTCTCCTTTTGATTTTCCTTCCCCGGGTTTCTGGGAAATTCCGAATCTTCGTTTCATACCAAGAATCTTCTTTCCAAGACCACTTGATCTTCGTGGGAGAGCGACGCGCCGCAAGCTTGGCAGCTTTTTTTCCCTTCGTATAATTCTGTCTTCTAATACACAGTCTTCTTCTTCCCTCCTTCTTTTCCGCTTTCGACCAGGATGTTGACCGTCCGCTCCCCCGTCGCCGCCCTCGCGGTGGTCCTCAGCTTGCTGAGCGTCGTTCACGGCGCGCCCCAGCCCCAGAACAGGAAAGGAAACGGAAACCGTGGCGGAAACGGAAACGGCCGCGCCAACAGGCAGACGGCGCAGCAGCAGGCCGCCGCGGTGCCCCAGGGCATCTCGCAAGCGACTGACGGATCCATGATTCTGGACATGACCGCCAACGTCAAGTAAGTCCCGCTGTTCGCCTTCTCCTCTTTGGGGGCGCATGGACTAACACTACCCCCCCTCCCAGCGGCCTCGACCTCCGCTTCAAGATCAGCGGCCCGGCCGAACAATTCACCGCCGCCTCCGGCGTCCCCGGCGCCGCAGCCCAACCCGGCGCCCAAGGCACCCTCGGCCTCAACGTCCTCCTCCACGGCGACGGCGGCCAATCCTTCTTCGACATGCCCAACCAGGGCGTCCAGCAGAACCTCGCCGGCGTCGCCGTCCTCGCCCCGGACCCGAACCTCTTCTGGGGCGGCGGCCAGGGTCTCCAGCGCACCGACGGCGTAGCCCACTCCCAGGCCGTCAACGACCTCGTCCAGAAGACGCTGCCGCAGATGATGGCCTTCAACCAGTCCAACGTCTTCTTCACGGGCGTCTCGGGCGGGTCCCTGATGCTCTCGGGCTTCTTCATGCCCGCGCACATGCAGAACTTCGCCGGCAACGGCGTGCTGCTCAACTGCGGCGGTCTGCCACCGCAAGTCGACGTCGTCGACGCGAAAGCCGTCGCGGGCACGAGGATCCACTTCCAGAGCACGCTGCAGGAGCTCTCCAACTTGCAGGAGGCGATCCCGGCGTCCGTGAAGGCGTACGAGAAGATCGCGACGGACGCGGGATTGAGTACCGCCCAGGTCAACGCCAAGCAGACGGTCAACAACTCGCCCAACGGCGGGCACTGCGCTTTCGACGAGCAGGGGTTCGTGTCGGGTATCCAGCTGATTGCGAATAACTATGCGGCTATCATGCAGGGCGGCAACGGCGAGGTGCAGGGGATCGGCAACGTCTTGACCGGTGTTACGGGCAATGAGAACTTGCAGTTCACTGGGTCGAGCAGGATGAGGCGAAACATGATCGGTTGAGAAGGACTAAACCTAGTTCAGGCGACCGGCTTGTGTGAAGCATGATGTTGATACCACGCCCTCTCAGAAAAACATACATAAATCAAAAATGAGACTCAATTTTAGCTGTTACTTTGGTCTCGAATGAGGGGACCGACCTTCACTATTACGTTGAAAACCAACTCCAACGGGAATGAAGTGAAAACAACCTCCCTACTTCATCCAAGAACCGGGCTCTCCGGCCTGGCAGAGCTACTCTTCTCCGTGACCCCTTCAACATGCTGACTACCCGGCACTGAAAGCTCCTGAGCCGCGACTTCGTTTGCAGTCATCTCAGACATGGGGCTCATGGGTGAATTCGGGTACGATCCTTCGAGCTCCATTCGACGCGGGATACAATCCGAATGCAGTTGCGGCTTTTCATATCCCCCTTGGCCATAGCCACCACCACGAGTACCAATGGCAATACCGGTCGCCATGGACTCCTCTTTATCGACCGCTCGATGTCTTCGTCGTCTGAGAAACCAGAGCGCGCCGAGGAGAAGCATAATGGCCGTGATCACGCCAATGACCGGCCCTGCTATCCATGCCGAGTTACCTGGTATCGGCCCTGTTACCCCGCTTGATTAGCATCATCATCGCGTCAATATGGCTGTTCCAGACATCATACCTGAGTCTCCTGCCCCGGGTGTCTTCCCAGTTTCTGTCGAGGACGACGACGGCCATCCGCCGCCTGTCTCACTGCTGTCCGTCGGTTTGAGCTCCGTCGCCGTGATCGTCTGGAGACCTCCCGCCACTAGTTCGCCATAAAAGTCTGTAAGGGGTCCCCAGTGCGCGCGGGTGACGACAGTCAATCGTGAAGGTGCGTACGTCCAGTCCGGAGGTTTACCGTTGCAGTAGTCTAGATACTCTTTGAATTTCGGCTCCACGCGTTTAGATATGTACGTTGCTGAATCCTCCACGGTGACATGTAAGCAATTAATACAATCTTCGTACTCTGTCTGAAAGTGCGCGTCCTTGTGGCAGATCAATGGCTGTTTGCCGATTGCCTGGATGTATATGTAGAGGGCATCTAAGACGCAGCGGTGGTCAGTCGCTGGCGGCAGTTCACCTCCGAGAGATCGAGAAACTTGTTGAAGGAAATGCATACTTAAACGTTTGATGCATGGTCCCGATGGACTCGTCATGAAATATGCCCTGGCCGAATAGGTCACCATGGATGGTTCTGGCGTAGGGTACGTGAAAGTAGCCCCAGTCGTCGATGTGATTATCGAAGCCGACATCTTCAGTCGACTTGAAGCATTCGATTAAGTCAGGTCATTAACGTTTCTTTTCTCTTGGGTTTTGTAAGTTATGAGGGTTCATCCCCCGCAAGATGGAGCGTCAGACATGAAAGATGCTGACAGCGTCAAGGTACGCCGGGCATGCAGCTGACTTTATACGACCGCCAACGCCACACCATGTCATAGTAATCGGTTCTGCTGCACAGAAGTTTGCCCTTCTTGGCAACGGGTATGAGCCGCTCAACGGTAGTCCGTGATCTCCGGTGCGGCCAGCCCGTAAGCATGATCCCGCAGGCCGAATGGGATGGTGCGGGAGTGTGCGATGGGTGGTAAGCGCCCAATGAGAGCGTATCGTTATGCTGTGTAACTTGACAAGAGTGTGTTTCGTGGTGATGGCCGTACGATGGCTCGTCTTACGTGGCGTCCGGGGTACTCTGCCCAGTTACCCGTGAAAAGGCCCAAAACGATCCTAGAATGGAGGAAAGCTGGGCTGGCTGGTGATTTTGGTCGACTGACATCGATGTTTGCTGGACCTTTGAGGACGGCACGGGTAGCTGCGATGCGTATGGAACGAAGACTAACCATGGCTGGAAAGAGTGGCACTACGTTCTTCATTTGTTCTTATGCTGCTCGGCACGCTGCTTCCCTTCCCCCCTCGTGTACTGTTCACAGCCATGCCTCGACTAGTTGTGCGTACTCGAACTGCTCAATTACGTTTCTCTGGCATCTCTGCAACGTGGTGGCTGTGCGGGACTAACATTTCTTGTGCAGCAATCTCGTTCGCGCTCATCTCCGGTATGGGATCTGGGTATGACCCCTCGAGTTCTATAGCAGGCTTGGGAGGCAGACTGTCGGAGTGAAGTTGGGCCTTGGTATACTCGTCATGTGCTTCGCTCGTGTTCTCAATAGCTGCCTGATTGGCTCTCCGTCTTCTGCGTCTGAGAAACCAGAAACCAGTAACAAGAGCAGTGACGGCGACACAGCCAATGACCAGACCGGCTACCCATGCTCGATTGGGGGCTGGGGTCGATTCTTATCTTTTGGTTAACGTTGAGGTTTTCTATCAAGACGGTTCAGGTGGTTACGAACCTGTCGAAGTTGATTCTGTAGGTATTGCACTCTGTGACGAAGTGGACGCAGAAGGAGTCGAGGTGGTTGGGGCGTAATTCATCGCGCCCGTTGTTGTCTTCGTCAGAGTCACCAGTTCAACGTCACCATTGAGGTATGTGATGGTAGTGGCGTACGTGACCGTCTGTACTTGGTTGCAGAGGTCCAGATATTGTTGAAATTCGGGCCCAAGATCCCCAAAACTGGTCGAGTTCTTGCTATTGACTCCAATACAAACCTGACAATCTATGAGATCTTTCGCAAAGGGCGACGCGATGTTGCACAAGGAAGGGTCTTTCCCAACTCCTTGCGCCTCAATATAGGCATTGTCTGGGTACAAATATTGTCAGTTGTGTGGCGAACATCGGTGAAGGTAGAGGAAAGAAACTCACTACATTCAGCAAAACATACAGCTGGAACGCTGGTCATGGTTCATTGGCGGGGTTTGTGTGCGGCCGATTGAAGTCGGCAATCGGTGGTGATGCCTGGGCGAATCGCGGCGATGTTGCAACCGATTCTGTCACCTAATCTTCGTCGAAAGAGATAAATCGATACTATCTCAATGCGCGGTTAACAAGGTGGGAAAGCCTCCATTCTCATATTGTGTGGGGGAACTGACCGGTATCAGTTACTTTATATGGGTGCACGCTTCTCGAGCGGAGGAAAGGCACTCTGCAGTTGCTTATCTTCTTGGCAAGCCTTTTCAGCTGCTCTTTTAGGATACAATAACAACGGCCTGCCGATCGTTCTAAGCCAATGATCTTATTACTTTACTCAAAAGATCAGGCTGTAGACTGGGATAGAACAGGATTAGGCATGGCAAATGTTGTGACACCCAAGGCAGCATCACACTGGTGATGGTTCCCGCATGGCGATCGGTTTAGTCGGTTCAGTCTCCATTAGGTGTTTCCATCTTCTCGTAAATAGTTTCGAAAGGATATCATTGGCAATGAGCCATGTTCTGGACGCACTCCTCGTTATTCCGCAGCCTGCTTAATGTGGTACTACCTCGAGACTAACTTGGCCGAATCGAGATCAGGCTGCACTATCGTAGATAGTCGAGTAGCCCGCGGTGTCATCAAATGTCTTTCAAAGCTTGCTGCAATTGTCTCATTCTTGGGCTCTCTCTATGGCAGTATCTATCCTCCAAGGTAACATTCCATAAGCTGCTGTAACGGGGACATCGTCCGCTGCCTGATCCAAACTCCACAATCAATCTACCACCTCAAACGCACAGCCATTTGTTCAACCGAAATAGTGAAGCTGACCGTTTTTGCGACAATGATCATAGACCTTGGTAGTCCATTCCGCATCATGCTGTTGCTGGTTACGGTCCCGTTTCTTCGTCATGCCCTCATGCATGAGAATCATCTCTCCAACTCGAGCTCTAGACAACATCACGCACAGACGCTTTGGGTCGTCGAGGAAGCCAGCGCTTCTTGTCCTAACCGTGTCAACAAACACAAAGTCTGCCTCGTGTCCTTGAGCAGAGTCCACAGTGCGGGCTTCGAGAGCATTGAATCGTAACTCCACGTCCATCCTTCCCCGGAAGTGAGGCGGAAGAGTCTTGATGAACTGTTTATACCGAATCAAAGCAGCCTTGTACGGCGTGATAATCAGGATCCGTCCAGGTTGGTCAGGCTTGTCAACCTGTTTGAATTCTGGGTGTCGGAGCAGTTCGTGACAGCGCTGCATGATGAAATTCGCGTGAACCTGATTGTAGAAGCTCGACCGGTCTTTCATCTCCTTGGAGTACCGTAGGTTGAGCAGGATTCGAGGGACAGTACATTCCTGGCCCCTGGTGAATTGCCCGAGCCATTTTTGCATGTGGCGTACGGGGTCGGAGAAGCGCTCAGCTTCGGGGATTCCTGAAGTCAATTGTCCATCATAGAACAACTCTGATACCAATACTTGGAGGTCTCCGTACATTCCTAGACGTTGTTAGCAGTGTAGCCATACGAACAATAGATCACAGTGCTTACGGTGACTGATAAGCAATTTGCTCTTGAGAGCCCCGGCAAGATCCGCTCTTTCCATGGTGCTTATCATGAGCTGCTTTGCATAGATGTTCTCCTTCTCCATGCCCTTGCCGCCTTCAACAAAGGGTCTGGTTTGTCGGGTATCGCCGGTTAGAATGAACGCACAGGGTGAATACAGCGCAATAGGGATGAGGGTTGTAAGTTCTCTGGCATGAGCAGCTTCATCAAGAAACACAATGTCCGGATGAAAGTTTTTGCTCAGGTACCCAGACGCGCCAACAGGAGTTGTGGCAATGAAATCGGCGTCTCCGATCACGGAGAGATAGAGCCTGGCCACACGATTCTTGAGCTCTCTTGCTGTCTTTCTGGTCTTGACTGCACCGTTCTCGAGCTTTTCGAGAATCTTGGTCAAAGACTTGTATCGGGTTCGGTCGGCATCGTACCTCTCCCACGCAACTTCATCCAGGGATGGCGCTCGATCGCCACGAGCTTCATTAGTAGAACGAGTACCATTCGAAAGACCGACAGAAGCACGAACTTGTCTGAGGAATCCGGCGGTGAAGTCAGGCTCGTCATCTTCGCTTGCTGAGGGCACTGGGTGAAGCTTTGCACTGCTTCGCATCTCGCGAGCGCAACCTCGAACCCTAATCACCGACTTGTTGATGCCGGCTTTTTTCAACGTCGAGTACACTCTGTCTGCTGCATCATCGCAGGGGTAATTGACGTCGAGAAGATACAGGATTTTGACCGGCTTGTGTTTCTTCTTCCCATCATCGCGCACAATATGGCGAGACTGAGAGACGGCCATAGCAGAGATAAAGGCGTTCAACGCTGTCTTTCCAGCACCAGGACAACCAAGAATGATCGCAAGTCCCGCTGGAATCCGACGAAGTTGCTCGTAGACATTCTTGTGGTCTGCATTGAGTCGGCGGTAGACAGCCTGCAAGTACGCATTGGAATGGCTAGCAGGGTTGTCCATGTGTGGGATCTTGTCGAACATGTTGATGTAGAAACTGGGCTCTTTCCGGAAATCCAGCAAGTACTCGAAAGTTCCAATGGTATTTTCTGACAGTTCGTTTCCCTCTTTCTTCGGCTGAGTCAAGATGCTCAATGCCGTCAATTCAGCTTCATACGTCACAGGATTCTGATCGATCCGAAGGCAGATCTCAGTGGCATTTTGCAAGCTGAGGGGCGTTGGCCCGAAGCCAAAATTCAGATCCTGTTTCACAGCGATTGAGTAGAGCGGGTGGTACTGCTGCTTCGTGATAGGGTCGGCAATGTAGTCCATGGTAACGTTGAATGCTGCCAGTAGGGAATACTGGTACAACTCCGGGGTCGTCTCGTATGGATTGGGAATGCGCTGTGCGGAGAGAGTTCCAGGGTTATATTTCTTGCCCTTGCAAAGGAAATCTCGCTTGAATGAGATATTGCACATGTCGCCCTCATCAGGGAAATGGCGTTCCGGTGTCGATGGCAGTTCGGTGAGCACAATCCACTTCTTCTGCAGATCTGACTCGATGAGTGAATAAGGACCCGGTACAGGAGCAATCACCCAAGCGTATCTGGCTTCAGGCGCTTCATTGAACCTCTTGATGGCAGAAGCCTCGTTCGCCATCTCTATGATGGTTCCTTCGCGATGAACGCGAGCAAATTCATGGATGCTATTGAACGAGTGAACCATTCGGCGACCACAATCTCTGTCGGAGAGCTCCAGCTGGTGGAATTAGTTCCAGGAAGTAAACATAGGTATGGGATCAAGAGGGAAGACCTACAATATTCTGTGGCACGGGGGACGTATGACTGTCTTTCACTGTGAGGGACGCGTGAAGATCGTCGATCGGCCCGTAGCCAACATTCCACGTCGCAAAGAGCATCTGAATTGTGTCAGCAAGATTTCGTCAACGGCAACACAGGCGCTGAAATAACTTACCTTGGTATGTTATCTCGAGCACAGCGCGATGGCGTACGCTTTGAATGGTGCCAAGCTGACAACCCAAGGATGCTAAAAAGAACGCCGTGGCTACCAGATAGCAGATTGAATGAGTGGCAGGAAGGAACCTATGGGCCGCGATGTATCGGCAGGCGAAGTATTGTCGCGAGGATTGAAGGAGGTGAGAAGTTGAAGTACACAACCAGAATAGACCGTGGGGAGGATTCTGGTAGATGTCGTCAACTTGACGGGAGTAATGGAAGGAAGAGAAGGAAAATCGGAGGTAATTTACTCCAGTGAGGGAAAGGCAGGAAGGTAAGGTAGGTGCTGCTGACCTTTTCAAAAGAGGCAGTAGCGACCTGCCTACGTACCTGCCTACCTCGAGTGGAAGTTGAGGTTGAGCCCACCTTCCGTGAGTGAATCCGTGGTGATTCACCTCAAGTGAACAACAGTGTGCTTTGTAAGAGTATTGCAGTTATTCGGGCAGAATCAACGAGGGAATACACAACCGAGAGCAGCGTTACTCATCCAGAGTGACATTGAGAATCGGGAATCGGGACAGCTCCATCGGCTTTGGGGAGAGGAGTGTATCGAAGCCCCGTACACACAACGACATGAATGGGCAGATGTAGTCTTCTTGGGCACGAGGCTTGAATAATTCGAACCATGGATGCTTGACCAAAACTCTGGTCCTGGTCATCGCTAGAAGGACCGGGCCAGAAAGACCAGACACTGGCCAACAGAATGATCGATCTTACTCTGAAGCAAGCTGATTAGTGATGTCTTATTGGCAAATCGAGTCAAATCAACTGCAAAGATATCAAGTTCAAGCAGACAAAATCACTAGGATACTGAAATGTTGAAGGGCCTATTGTTGTATACAGCTCTTCGGAATGAGCTGCTGTCAACCTATAGAAAGATACTGGCTGCCTGTTAGAGTACGGATATCCAGGCAGTAACCATTCAAGTCATGACAAAAAAAAAAAACGCAAGCAGGATGTGAAATGTTGCGCTACAAACTGCTCTTCCCTCCCATGGCTTGGGATTAGACTGAAGTAAGGAAGGTGATAGATGTTGAAAGATACTTAAAATGTGTGATAATTGCAGGATGCTGATGAGGAGCTTCACCATCATGCCTCGAGTATTGCCTGGGGCACACCAAAGTCCACCAAGCAACCCTCGTAAGTGATACGAATATGTGTTCAAGTGATTCGCTCATTCATCGCCTGGTCGATCATGTTGTGTCGTTGAAGTCGGACGTGTGGAGGTATGTGGGGGTTTCCGAGGTTGGCAATTTCGACATCGGTACCTTGCCTCGGTGAAGCAGACTCCGGGCTGGCCACTATGTCTGAACTACCCTGAGGTGTCTGTCGACACTTCAAAACGCAGCACGTCATCTTGAAAATGTGGTAGCTGTAGATATATCAAGTGCCAAGCATGTTTCTATCCTTCCGATGATTGTTCATCCTGGTTGAGCACCATGATTGCCCTTGTCATATCGGAGGCATCTCATCGTCGGCGGAAAGT